ATCAAGTAAACCAGGATTGCGTTAGAAGTTTATGTTTTTTTTCATTTAATTCCTATTATGTTTTAAACGTTTCAATTTAATCTTTACGTTTTTATATTTGCAATTTCGTCTCCACTGACTGACACAATACTTGCTGAATCGACACAAATTTAAAAGAGGAAAAGGGGCACCTAAGAGGGGAAAATTTTAAATTCCTCTGGACTTTTAAGAAATTGGTAAAAATTTTGAATTTTTGTCGTTTTCTCTTTTAAATTTCTGTTTATTCGTTAAGTAGTATGTCACGTAAATTAATCATCAAACAAAATTAATTATCCAAATTCTAACGGTCATCCCTGATAAGGGACTAAATTAAAATTTATTAAATAGTGGGGTTGAAAAAATACCCGAACATTAAGAGCAAAAATATATACTTCGTAAAATTTTGCATGTGGATTATATTTGAGCATCATATTAACAAGTCTTAAAATAAAGTAAAACCATGGACACTCAGAAACTTTAGAAATCTTTAACTGATTAAGACATATATACTTTCCAATTACAGATGGTCAAAAAAACTATTGTGTGCAATTTTATTATTCACAAATATATTTGAAAAGATACTTTATTCTCGTGTATTTTTATTATAATTATTATTTTTTTTTTTGCAATTTTAGAATTTAGAAATATAATTGAGAACATCTTTAATTCTTACTCGGCAGAATTCTGGACCAGGCGATTGAGAATCTGTAAACATCAAAACCTATATGCTTTAAAATGGCAACATCTTCCTGCATTGCCAACAATGATCAATTGTGAATAATATTGAACTTCATGAATTATATATTTAATTAAGAATTAATATTATGGTTTTGAAAATAAATTAGTAGAATAAAGTAGTTCTAAAACAAGTTATCATAATATAATACCCCAATTGATATGGAATTTTATAAGGCAGAAGTTATTTTATTTAAAAAAAAAAAGGTACAGATCTTCCAAATAGAGGTATTTGTGCAAACATGGAAATAGATTTTTCCATACTAAAAACTGGGCCAACAAATGGTGGTCTAAGCCTAAAGTTGATACTATAGTTCAACTTGAAGGATTTATTAAACTTAACTAGTTTTTCTAATCTAATCATAAATTAACTGAGTTCGCTTCTCGTTATTTTATTGTTGTCTGATGTACCTTGTAGCGATGGTATGAATCAACAGCTACATCTCCATTGTTACGATCCATAATTCTCTCTGCAGTATCACAAACAACGAGAAAAAATAGATTGTAAAAATAGCTTTTTTTTAGGACTTACATCTAAACATAATTTAAGTTGAGAAAGAGATGTATATGATTTTTTTATGAGATAGATACCGGGGTGTTCGTGAGTGTAGGTATCCCAAATACTTGATCCTTTTCCGTACTTAAAAGCAGCACCTTCATACTGAATAAAATATTACCAACCGCGAAAAAGTCGAATTCAATCACTCTTTTAATTCATTGAGTATTTGAAAGTACACATAATATAATACAAATTGTTAAATACAAAATGATAATATAGATTTCCGAATATAGAATCTTCTACTCGGATACCATGTTAAACATGTTAAATCATCAATGAATCAAAAAATAGATATCTTAACACATACAATGTTTTGCTAAGACAATGATACCCTAGCTCATACCTCAAAGTATCTTCATAATGGTGTGATATTGTCCACTTTGGATGTAAGCCTCACGGATTTACTTTTGGTTTCATCCAAAAAGTCTTATACCGGTGGAGATAATTCTCCTCACTTATATATACCATATAAATATTCATGAAGTTTTATCTCAACACCAATTGACTATGAGATGAAACCCCATGAATATTAATACGGTATCAGAGTCCAAATCGCTCAAATGAACATCCGTTCCAAAAATAGGATCCGATCAAGATCCATGAACCAAAAGACCAACGATCTTGAGGGGACATGTTAAGGATCACACATTGAAAAAATAAGAGGCCTAACAAGGGTTTATAATACATATGAACTAGTAATTTCATTGTCAATTTGTTTTGAGATAGAACTCCATGAATATTAATATTGTATCAGAGTCCAAAAGCTCAAACGAGCATCCCAATTCAAAAATATTAATGTACCATGGATCAATTTCTTCCTTAACCAGTGTAGGACTTTGTTTGCACTCCTTTTACAACTCCGACACGTTTTTCTTTTTCTCCTTTTACCTGATAAGCAGAAGATGCTGCACCAAAAACGAAGCTTCTAGGAAAGCTGCTTCTCCCGATCATGTCTATTTGATGGGACTGTATATCGAGAGCATCCACACCTACAAAGATATATAAGACAATTAAACACAAAGAAGAGAAGAAAACAATATAGGTACCTTTCAAAGCTAACATAATTAGGTTTAGTTTATGGTGCATTTCTTTTGAAAAAAAAGTGTTTTTAAGTATGAACATTAAAGAAAACTTATTAAATGCTTCATCTAAAAGCACTTAGCATTTACTATTATCGTAAGCATTCAAAAATTTACTGAGAAAATAGTAATCAAATTATTCAAGTTCGATTTGTAAACTCTATTATGGATGCTTTTTATTACTGTAATATTAAAAGACAAAAGAACGAACATATATACATATAGGTACAAGGGTGATACAAAAACTAGTTTTAAATCCTGGTTTTGTTCTAAACATTTATTCTGTTTTGACCTCTAAATTTTAAAATACTTTTTTTTTTAAGTCTCTCTCAAATTTACTCAAATTTAGAATCTTTTTAAATAAATAATCACAAAAATTAATAGTAGTTTCTTCCTTAAGGTTTAACCATTAAATTAA